TATTGTAGAAGACAAAGAGACATACATACATAATTCTTTGAAAAAGATTGGTGGGCTGGGCATGGTGGTGCATTCCTATAAATATAGCACTTGGGAGGCCAAGGCAGGATGATTCACAGCTGAAGTCACAAATTTGAGGTCAGTGTAGGTTACACTTTGAGTAGGAGGCAAGCAGGATTATATAGCAACACATACCCCCACACCTGCTATTGTCTAGCTAGGCTCCAGGGTCCCTATAAATCCCGTTGTCAGTATAGGTGGAAGCCCCAGGCAAAGACATCTCCCTGGCCTGTGAAGAAGGCTCAGTATTCCTTGCTGCCAAGTCTGGTGACCCAAGTTCCATCCAAAGAATTCATATGGTGGAAAAAGAAAACTGACTCACACAAGTTGTCCTCTGATCACTACAGCACATGTGCACCCATACACATACATATACATCACACACACACACATGTGCATGCACACACACACACACACACACACACACACAAATAAAAAAGAAAAGTAAATCTTTTTTTTTTGTTGTTGAGGGTCACACACACACACACACACACACACACACACACACACACATAAATAAAAAAGAAAAGTAAATCTTTTAAAATATTATAAATTTTAGGGAGCTGGAGAGATGGCTAAGCAGTTAAGAGCACTGGCTGCTCTTGCAGAAGATCTGGGTTTGGTTCCCAGCATTCACATAGTAGCTAACAACCATCTGTAACTACAGTTCCAGGGAATCTGACACCCTCTTCTGAGCATCATGGGCATTGCACAACACGGGTGCACTTACATACATGTAGGCAAAATACTCATACACATAAAATAAAAATAATAACCTAAAAATTTTTTAATATATAAATTTTTAAAAACCTAACATGAAACAAGCATCTAGTATCAGGAAATTTTCCGACAGTAATAACTTCAAATACTTCTAAGTAAACATTTTACATACTAAGGTATACTGAGTTTTTGTGTTTTTTTAAGTCATACTTTTCTTAAGCTAAGATATTTCAAAAGACTTACAACATGTCCAGTTTATGTGGTGTTGGGATCAAACACAGGGCCTTGTGCGTACCAGGCAAGCACTCAACCAAACGAGCAACCTCTCCAGCCCTAAAATTGTCGTTTCTGAGCAATTTAGACTTTAAGGTTTTGGATAAAGGATGTTCAACTTGCATTTTAGTATTATTTCAAGTCAGATTTATTTCAGAACCATCTTTCTTAAAATTTCAGTTACCAAGTTCCAATATCTTCGAGTCTGTACAATAAAATTTCCCCAATATCTGCAACAGCTATAATAATACAAAATTATCACATTGGTTTAGAATCTGATTCCTATCTTCACAAATTTTTAAGAAATTAGCACATGCCAGTGTTACCTCCAAAACAAAAGCATCCTTTTTCCCATGTGAAAGATCTAATTCTGTAACTTCATCAGAACTTTCTGACTGAGATCTTAGAAGTCTTGAACGCTGTCTAGGTTCCGGGATGGGTGATCCTATAATCTCTTCAGATATTTCCTAAAATAAATATAATTGTTTTATATCAAATGAGACTGGATTTTTCAGTTTGGTTTCAAAGTTTCCTATTAACACACAACTTCCATGGGAAAAATACCTACAAACCATATTCAATAACTTCTATATTTAAGTACAACCTTTTGGGTGATTTATAAAAGATGTGGCTATTTCCTTCTATCCATAAACCAGCGTTACTGATGTACTGATTTAGGAACAGACATGACTACGACAGGAATAACAAGGTAAACTGACATCTAGTGTACAGACAGCAGAGACAGTGAGCTCAGAACTACTCAGCCTGCTCTACTGCACACAGTTCCTAGTAAGCATCTGAAGGTATTAACTGGCCATAGAGATGCAAAGATTTTCACATACACACAAAAAAAAGTACTAATATTTTTTAGCATTTCCTCTCCAGTAGTAACTTTTCAAAGCTATTAGCACAGTTAAAACATAAATGAGAAGTACGTGTGTGTCACAAGATACATACACACATGCACACTATGCATGCACAGACTGCAACTTATTATTCTAAATAATCATCAATAGCCAAAAAAATGATCCTCTAAAAGTCAGTGTATGATGTAATTCTACATAAGGGAGTTTTACAGTGCCACCAATCCAGGCTAACTAAAGGCTCTAAATCGCTGCTGGCCATCAAGAGTATGTCAGCGCAGAGGCCAAAGGAATAGCCTGTCAGTGATACAGCAGAGCTATCCTTTACTAAAATGAGGAAATTTTCAACAGAAGTTTTCTGACATGTGGAGGTAAATGTCCATTGTTAGTGCATACCTTAGATGTAACACAACAGCTACGGTTTCAAAACAACCAATGGTATACCTCCACATCCGTCTGTGTGTATGTATGTATGCATTTTTTAATCTTTTTCTTGAGACAAGGTCTCCCTGTAGTCCCAGATGGCCTAGAACTATGTAGACCAGGCTAGCCTTGAACTCGGAGATCCACCTGCCTCTGCCTCCCAAGTGCTAGGGCGCCACCATGCCCAGTCCCCCATTTATATTAATGCATTCTCAACAAACCTACCCTACATAAATTTGAAAGGGTGCAGATTATAACGAACACAAAATGAGAAACATGTAACTCAACTACAGCCATTCTCTCACTTACAAACGCAATGAGGAACCATCTAAGTTTTTCTTGCTGTTTGTTCCCTGATTCCTCACGAGATACAGTACTTCTTTTTATGACTTTATAGTTTAGATTTCTGTAATACCTGTTCACTATGTGATTGCCTAATGTTAATGCTTTGGTATTTAATATATCCTAATCTCATAATGAAGTTCATCACTGGCAGAATTATTCTAAAGTTTGTATCTGGTTTGTTGAGAAAAGAAATTAAACAAAAAGTTACTTCAGCTGGGACGCCATCTCCCTAAGGGAAGGACATTCTGATCCACTGTACTACTTTTGCCTATTTTGTTTTCGGGGGGTTCTTTGTTTTTTATTGTATGGTATTTTATTCAACAAATTATAAATAGTATTTAATTGGAGTGTGGTTTCAATGTGAAATGTTCCTCAAAGGCTCATATATTTTAGCACTGGGTCTCCATATGGTGGAGCTGTTTGGGAAGTTATGAGACTTAGGAAGGGACATTGTCTCACTATGTAGCCCTGGCTGGCCTGGAACTCACTATATAGATCACACTGGCCTGAACTCAAAGCGTACCATAACATTGGGCATACAAATGCAGTATTTTAGAAGACCAGCCAAAATTAGAATTATATATAAAATCCTAGAGACACTAATAATGTTATTCAAACAGTATCCATTTGTGAAAGTATCATCTAAGACCCATAAAAACAAATAGTTTCATTACAACCTCAACACATCTTTCTTTTAATTCAGACTACAACCTTAAGGCATCTGTACAGCAGTGACATAAACTGCACATTCAGTAAGCCGGACTATAAAATGACTGGAAAGAAATTGTAAAGTATGAGCAACAACTGAAATACTCTTTACTTCTGTACTTTTTTCACAATCTTCCTTTTTATTAAAAAGAAGCTTCCCGCCCCTCCCCCCAGGGAAGGGACTTGTTTGTTTGAGATAGGGGTTCACTCTGAGACCAGGCTGGCCTCAAACTACAGTAATTCTCTTTCTTGCCTCTGTGAATTTCTCCCCCAAGTGTAGGAATTAGAAGTCTGAGTCAACATGCCAGCCAAAAAGAACCATTTTAAACCTCATTCAAGCCTTTAACATAGCTACGGAGAAGCTGCTACTCTAGGAAGCCCTTTCTAGAAGAGAAAGGCTCTTCTAATGGAGCTTTTACTCTGCCAGTAGTTACGAGACAACAGACAAAGTTTAAAACTTTTGAATATGTATGTCTCAGAATAGTTAAGCACGAAAATGTACACAGATAGAGAGAGAGAGAAAGAAAGACACATACAGACACATGAGTTACAGAAAACAAAGAAAGGTAAAAGTACCAAAAACCAGAAGGAAGAGTTAGTTTACAAACTGCTCGGTCACAGAAGCCCTCGGGGAGGTGAAAAACTATGTTGTTTGTTTGTTTTGAAACAGTGTTACCCATAGCCCCAGCTGGTCTGGAACTCACCATGTAGACCAGCAAGCTGGCTTTAATCTCACAGAAAGCAAACTGCCTCTGCCTCCTGTGTGCTGGGATTAAACCCGTGCGCCACCACGCCCAGCTGGTGAGAAACTTTTTATGTACAAAATAAGACAACCTGAAAACATACTACATCTGAGCAGTAACAGATATATTGACAATGTACACTTACTTTACTTACCGGAGGATTGATTTCATATAATTCTTTGTTCTTAGCAATGGTGTCATTGATTTTCTTCTGCATATGGGAGACATGCTGTTCATAGGAGCCATCATTAGGAGTCTTCCCAGCAATCTGAATACCGCCAGGCATGGGTAAAGCTGCTAAATACACACCTGTGGCCGACTTGTGAAAGGAACAAGGACATAAACAGATCAAAGTCTCAACAATGATGGGCTTTAAGTTTCCTATTCAGGAATATGGTCTTGCTCTGCGCAAAAAAGACATAAAGTATCAGCAGAAGGCCAGGCCATGTCTGCAAGATCAGACACACTCCGTAACAGGAACTGGTCTCCTCTGAAGGGGCTCCTGGGCAGACAGATAGGAGACAGCTATGAAAGGGGACCTTTTAATACATAGTCAACGAGTTTACATATACAAATAAGTTGAAATCTGAGCGGCTGTGACAGGAAAATCTGAAGTTCAAGGCCAGCCTAGGCTATAGTGTGAGACCCTGTCTCAAAAAAAAAAAAAATTTAAAGTAAGCCAGGTATGGTAGCACATGCCTTTAATCCTAGCACTCAGGAGATAGAGGCAGGTGAATTTCTGTGAGATTAAGGACAGCCTGGTCTACACAATCAGTTCCAGGCCTACTGGGGCTACAGAGAGATCCTGTCTCAAAGAGAAAAAAAAAAAAAGATTTATAAAGGACCCAAGTTCAGTTCCCAGCATCTACATGGCAGCTAATAACGGTCTATAACTCCAGTTCCAGGGGATCCGACTCCCTCCTCTGGCTTCTGTGAGCACTGCATGACAGAGGTGCACTTACATTCATGTAGGTAGAACATATACATACAATAAAAAAAATTTTAATTACGTGAAGCCTATTCCTAGGTTCTTCACTTCCTAACATTGTCTCCAATCCTTAAAGGCCAGCAGACGTCTCTTTCTTTGACTAAGTCTTCTATTATTTATTGTTTGGATGCAGAGTCCTGAGTCGTGCTACAAAGCCCAAGCAGTCTTGCTCTCCCGACCCCCGGCCTCAGCCCCCTGGGTGCTGGGATTACAAGCTTGCACCACCATGTCTGGCCGTGCTGCCTTTGTGACTCCTCTACAACTACAGAAACCACAGAAGAAAACTACGAGCTCTGACTTACAGCCAAGCCCATGACCATGTTTTCACCCACTGTGATCTGAATCCTCAGTCCAAACAACGCGTTCATGCCCTTGAGCTTGAGCTTATTCATCAGCTGAGTGTGCACTTCGTATTCCACGAACGGCAAGAGGTTACTCAGAGCTGTGGCATTGGCTTCGGCCTGCGCTTTCTTTTTCAAGCGACACAACCTACAAAAGAGAGTGCGTGTCCGTGGCGGGGGGTACCGCTCGGTGCTGGAGTTCTTCCTAAGGATGTGTGGAAGGCCAAAGACGTGAGAGGGGAAAAATAAATGGATTAGAAATATGTCTGAGAACAAAACAACGTAACTTTGGGATTAATGTGACATGGAAAAGTTGAAAATGAGGACAGGCCAGTTCCAATGTGACATAACAGGGGCAGTGGGGGCACATGTTTACAAAGAGGCAAGTAGGAATTGGAGAACACCAACGGCTTAATCTGGAACAATGTGAGCTGTTTATGAGTCATCATAATGGGCTGTCAACCAGAGAGGTCTACACAATGAAGCTCAGAAGAATGTTCTAGACTAGACTATAAATGTGGGACTCACAGACATAAGCATAAAGCACACATCTACAGGTGACAGAAGGGCCAAATCCACAGCTCTCAAAAATCAAGAGAAGATGTCAAGAGACACTTAAGAGCACTTAATGTGCTGCATTAAGGCAAAGATTAGATAATGACACAGAAAAGGCCCAAGGTGCCACTGCCACTGACAGTTCAAGGTGAAGACAGAAATGCCTACGGGGTCTGGAACCTATCAGGCTGCTTGTGACCTAGACACAATAAACACCAAGACACAAGAAACACCAAGCTCCAGAATATATTCAGTATCTTTAAGCAGTCTGTATTTAGCTTAAAAAAAACGCTTAAAAAAAAAAATGCTTTTGCAACGCCAGGCGTGGTGGTTCACACCTTTAATCCCAGCACTCGGAAGGCAAGGGAAGGTGGATCTCTGAGATGAGCCCAGCCTTCTCTACACAGTGAGTTCCAGGACAGCTGGGGCTACAAGAGACCCTGTCCTAAGAAAAAGAAAAAAAAAGATTTTTGCATATAAATTTACTTTCTCTCCTCTCCTAACTGTACGGATGATAAACACACGGTCCCAACAGAACCGCCCCGGTTTATCTGGGGCCAAGCATTAAGAAACAGCAGATATTTTGCAATAGATGTATGGCTCCGTATTTCAGTTTTCAGTGTCACCACACAGACCTTACAGCGTACCTTGCTTGAATAAGACAACCTTTCCCTACAACTGTTGCATCGGTTGGGAGGTCTATAGTTGTGAAGAGGACGTCGGGAACTTTTTGTTTCCTGCAGCTGTAGCAGTATGTGAGATGAGCTGGAAATGGCATGTTCATTTCATCATATGGGATGTGGCAAAACCCACAGCCGACAGGCAAGCTTTCTTCAATCCTATATAAACACATTAAAAAACAATGAAGCTCTCTGCTCTGGGTTTGATACCCAGCCACCCTCAAAGGGTGCTCCTGAAAACCTTATGAGCTTTTTGAAGAAAATATTACATGTATTACATATACAGTGTTTGTGTATAAACCTACACATCTTATACCAGAGGAAGAAAATCAGTATGACTGATAGAAACCACGACTGACCGTGGAATCAGGCCCCACTGCTATTCCCAAGAGAACAGAAAGTCATTTTATATCAAGTCTGCGTAATTTGCCATATGACAAAGATGACTTCTGAAAACTGGGGGTGGATACCACATAAAAATAGACGGTAATAGATGGTCAGTGTAACATTCCTACTGGTTAGTAAATACAAACATACAGAAAAAAATCCCTAAGGGGGAAAAAAATGTTTAACCAAACAATTTGGGGAAAAAGGGTATTTTTGATTTATGTATTTTTATTTTATGTGTATGAGTCTTTTGCCTGCAGGTAAAGGCTCTTGGTGCCAAGCCTGACCACCTGTGTTCAATCCCTGGAACCCACATGGAAGGAGAAAACTGACTCTCACATGCTGTCCTCTGAGTGCCATACATGTGCCATGTGTGAACCTAAAAAATTGTTTTAAAGTTGTATTTTAAGGACTAGAGAGATAGCTCAGTGGTTAAGAGCACTGGATGCTCTTGCAGAGGACCCAGGTTTGATTCCCAGCACCCACATGGTGGCTAACAACTGCCCATAACTCCAGTTCCAGGGGAGTCCGATGCTCTCTTCTGAGCTCCATGGGCACTGCACAACAGGGGTGTACTAACACATGTGCAGGCAATACAGTCAGACCCATAAAAATAAAAGTAAATAGGGGCTGGAGAAATGGCTCAGCAGTTAAGAACACTGACTGTTCTTGCAGAAGACCCAGGTTCGAATCCCAGCACCCACCACAACTGTCAGTAACTGTCAGTAACTCCATTTCCAGGGGATCGGCAGTCTCTTCTAACCTACACCAATACAGCCAGACCCATAAAAATAAAAGTAAAAAGGGGCTGGAGAAATGGCTCAGCAGTTAAGAACACTGACTGTTCTTGCAGAAGACCCAGGTTCGAATCCCAGCACCCACCACAACTGTCAGTAACTGTCAGTAACTCCATTTCCAGGGGATCGGCAGTCTCTTCTAACCTACACGGGCACTGCACGACACGGGTGCACTTACCTACATGCAGGCAGTACATGCATACATATAAAATAAAAATAATAAAATATATTTTA